TGTAGGACTCCGGTGGTGGCTATTTTCCCCCGTTTTATCGCAATTTTAAGGTGGGACAAGCGTTTTAGCACTTTGTTTACATTTTATTGCATTTGAGTTTAACGTTTGTTTCCATTTTAATTGCAGATTTTAGCCCGCTACTGTTTTGTTTAGAGTTTGTTTTTGGGTTTTCTTTTCGAGTTGTATCATTTTTGTAGCTTTTAGAAACCCTTTTAGCTCTGCACCAGTCCTGTATAGCAGTCCCTGGGTCTTTTAGCCTTTTAGATTTAGTTTCCCTTGGATGTGCTTGGGCGGGGGATTTGGCCCATTTTTCTGTTTGCACTTGGTATTTTTGTTATTTAGTGCGTTTGTGGGTAGCACTTTCTGTTTTGTTTGGGGTGGGGCTACCCCCTCTCAAGCCATCCTTGTTTGGTTTCTGTTTAAGACTGGTCTGCTTTCAGATTTCGTTTGGCTCTGGCCCAGGGGCTGCCAGATTTTAATTGAACTTTACTTTTATCATATTGGCCATTTTAACCTGAATGTTACTTTTTATAAATAAATATCATCCTTTTTAAACCTAATTCTGTTATAAATAAACTTTTAATTGCATATTTTAAAAGCACTGTCTCTGCCTGTCTTTTACAAAACTTACCTGTGTGTGTCCTTTGGTTTTATTAATACTTTAGTTATTTTATTGGTTATTTTTAAGTACCTCGGGTCACATACTGTTACTGTGAACTTTTAAAAAGGTACCTCAGGTGACAAACGTGGCGTTACTGGCAGGATTTGTAAAACAGAGACTTGTGCTCCCCCCCTGGACTGCCACCTTAACGTGGTGGGGGAGTTTGAGTACTCGGATGATCCTGGGAGCTATGCTGTCTGGGGCTTCATGCCCCTGGTAGGGCCTCCCATGGCAGACAGGTCTCAAGTGACAAGTCAGACGAAGAGCAGTCAGAAGCCAACATGGACAGCACAAAGAGGAAATCAGTGACGTCGCCCGGCATGGCGCAGCCGGGGCCCCACCCTGGAGCCAGGCCTGGGGTCGGGGCTCGTATGCGAGCGCCTGGTGGCCGGGCCTTAGCCCACGGGGCCCGGCCGGGCTCAGCCCGAATGGACGACGTGGGCAGTCCCCCCTGTGGGCCCACCACCCGCAGAGGGGTCCGTGGTGGCGAAGCGGTGCAGAGAGGACTGGGCAGCGGTCGAAGGCGGAGACCTCGGTGACCCAGTCCGCACACACAACAGCTGGCACTTGGGACGTGGAACGTCACCTCACTGGGGGGGAAGGAGCCCGAGCTTGTGGGGGAGGTTGAGCGATACCGACTAGAGATAGTCGGCCTCACCTCCACACACAGCTTGGGCTCTGGAACCCAACTCCTTGAGAGGGGTTGGACGCTCCACTTTTCTGGAGTTTCCCGCGGGGAGAGGCGGCGAGCTGGGGTGGCCATTCTCATTGCCCCCCATCTCAGCCGCCACGTGTTGGAGTTCTCCCCGGTGAATGAGAGGGTCGCGTCCCTCCGCCTCCGGGTGGGGGACAAGTCTCTCATTGTTGTGACGGCCTACGGGCCTAACAGCAGTGCAGAGTACCCGGCCTTCTTAGAGTCCTTGGGAGGGGTACTGGACGGTGCACCGCCCAGGGACTCCGTTATTCTCCTGGGGGACTTCAACGCCCATGTGGGAAACGCCAGTGACACTTGGAGAGGGGTGATCGGGAAGAGCGGCCCCCCTGATCTGAACCCTGATGGACAAACCGTGACTGGCACAGAAGTCCAACAACTGAACACCGCCAGTTGTTGGACTTCTGTGCCAGTCACGGTTTGTCCATCACGAACACCATGTTCGAGCACAAAGGTGTCGACCAGTGCACGTGGCACCAGGACACCCTAGGCCGGAGGTCGATGATCGACTTTGTTGTCGTATCATCTGACCTTCGACCGCGTGTCTCGGACACTCGGGTAAAGAGAGGGGCGGAGCTGTCAACCGATCATCACCTGGTCGTGAGTTGGATCCGCTGGCAGGGGAAGAAGCCGGTCAGACCTGGCAGACCCAAGCGTATAGTGAGGGTCTGCTGGGAACGTCTCGCTGAGCCCCCTGTCAGACGGACTTTCAACTCACACCTCCGGGAGAGTTTCTCCCAGGTCCCGGCGGAGGAGGGGGACGTGGAGTCCGAGTGGACCATGTTCTCTGCCTCAATCAACGATGCGGCGGCTCGTAGCTGTGGTCACAAGGTCTCTGGTGCTGGTCCCGGCGGCAACCCCCGAACCCGGTGGTGGACACCGGCAGCAAGGGATGCTGTCAGGCTGAAGAAGGAGTCCTATCGAGCCATGATGGTTCGGGGGACTCCTGAGGCAGCTGTCCAGTACCGGCAGGCCAAGCGTGCCGCGGCCCGGGCTGTTGCAGAGGCAAAAACCCGGGACTGGGAGGAGTTTGGAGAGTCCATGGAGCATGACTATCGGTCGGCCTCGAAGAGATTCTGGCAAACCATCCGGCGCCTCAGGAGGGGGAAGCAGTTCTTTGCCAGCACCATGTACGGTGCGGGTGGAGAGCTGCTGACCCCCGTCATGTCCTCTGTTACAGAGGCAGAGGCTGAGGATGTTGGGGCGGATACATCCATCTCCCTGGCTGAGGTCACCAAGGTGGTTGGTAGCCTCCATGGTGGCAAGGCTCCGGGTGTGGATGAGATCGGTCCTGATTATCTAAAGTCTCTGGATGTTGTAGGACTGTCTTGGCTGACACGTCTCTGCAACATCGGGTGGCGATCGGGGGCAGTGCCAATGGAGTGGCAGACCGGGGTGGTGGTCCCTCTCTACAAGAAGGGGGACCGGAGGGTGTGTTCCAATTATCGTGGGATCACACTCCTCAGCCTCCCCGGTAAGGTCTACTCCAAGGTACTGGAGAGGAGGCTACGGCCGATGGTCGAATCTCGGATCCAGGAGGGGCAGTGTGGTTTTCGTCCCGGTCGCGGAACACTGGACCAGCTCTATACTCTCCATCGGATACTCGAGGGTTCATGGGAGTTCGCCCAACCTGTCCACATGTGCTTTGTGGATTTGGAGAAGGCGTTCGACTGTGTTCCCCGGGGTGTCCTTTGGGGGGTTCTCCGGGAGTACGGGGTCGGAGGTCCTCTGCTGAGGGCCATCCGATCCCTGTATGACCGGAGCCAGAGCTGTGTTCGCATTGCCGGCAGTAAGTCAGACCTGTTCCCGGTGAATGTTGGCCTTCGACAGGGCTGCCCTTTGTCACCGGTTCTGTTCACTGTATTTATGGACAGAATATCTAGGCGCAGCCAGGGGTCGGTAGGGGGTCCGGTTCGGAGACCACAGGATTTAATCTCTGCTGTTTGCGGACGATGTTGTCCTGTTGGCTCCAACGAACCAGGACCTGCAGCATGCACTGGGGCGGTTGGCAGCCGAGTGTGAAGCGGCTGGGATGAGAATCAGCACCTCCAAATCCGAGGCCATGGTGCTTGACCGGAAAAAGGTGCCTTGCCCTCTGCAGGTGGGTGGAGAGGTCCTTCCTCAAGTGGAGGAGTTCAAGTATCTCGGGGTGTTGTTCACGAGTGAGGGAAGAATGGAGCGTGAGATTGACAAGCGGATCGGTGCAGCGTGCGCAGTGATGCAGTCGCTGTATCGGACCGTTGTGGTAAAGAGGGAGCTGAGCCGAAAGGCAAAGCTCTCGATTTACCGGTCAATCTTCGTTCCCTCCCTCACCTATGGTCATGAGCTTTGGGTAATGACCGAAAGAACGAGATCGCGGATACAAGCGGTCGAAATGAGCTTCCTCCGCAGAGTGGCTGGGCGCTCCCTTAGAGATAGGGTGAGGAGCTCAGTCACACGGGAGGAGCTCGGAGTAGAGCCGCTGCTTCTCCACGTCGAGAGGAACCAGTTGAGGTGACTTGGGCATCTGTTCCGGATGCCTCCTGGACGCCTCCCTGGGGAGGTGTTCCGGGCACGTCCCACCGGGAGGAGGCCCCGGACACGCTGGAGGGACTATGTCTCTCAGCTGGCCTGGGAACGCCTTGGGGTCCCCCCGGACGAGCTGGAGGAAGTGTGTGTGGATAGGGAAGTCTGGGCGTCTCTGCTTAGACTGCTGCCCCCGCGACCCGGCAACGGATAAAGCGGAAGAAGATGGATGGATGGAGACTTGTGCTTTTAATGTATGATTTTTATTTATTTGTGCAGTAGCTTTAGACTGTAGACTCAGGCACGTTTTTTTTAGAAAACAGTAGCAGGCCGTCGGTGGACCGAGGCCTGGCAGTACCTGCTCGTTTGCTCTGCTTTCTGTGTACACTGTCATCTGTAACAGGAATGGATGCTGAAGAAGCGCAGCAGCTAATGGACTTGGTCAAGAAGCTACAAGCTGACAATGAACTTTTGAGACGGGAGCGTACAAACATGGACAATGGTGGCGAAGCTTCTTCTTCCCGGGCTCACCTGCGGCAAGGGCCAAGCACTCAAACCGCTGGTGAACGTATATTGTATATTCCCCGTGAACGTAAATGTCCTGTTTTTAGGGGTAATGTTGGTATTGGGGTTAATGACTGGGTAGAGGAGGTGAGGGCTAGCATGAGGGCCAGGCATCTTAATCTGCTCGATCAATCTTATTTTATTTACGACCATCTAGAGGGAGAAGCTAAGGAGGAAATCTGCTATAGGCCCCAGGAGGAGCGGGAGGACCCAGAGGCCATTTTAATGATCTTACAAGAACTCTATGGCTGCTCTAAATCATACATTGCACTACAGGAGAATTTCTTTTCACGTAAACAGTTACAAGGTGAAACTCTACAAGAGTATTCACATGCTTTATTTTGTTTAATGGAAAAGGTTACTAGGAGCGCCCGTGGTGGCTTGAGAAATGCCCCTACCCTCCTGAGAGATCAATTTGTAGAGCATGTTCTAGACCCATCATTACGCAGATTACCCATAATTTGTTGACCCAAAATATGCTTCAGCTACAAAGTGCTAAATCTCCTGGTTTTAACAGAGGCGGTCCCCTTATTTGCAGGCAGTGTCAGCGGCCCGGTCTCATCGCTCGTTACTGCCGCCAGCCACAGAGCAGCCAGAGGTCAGGGCAAATTCCTCCCACGGGACAGGCAGTTTCAGCCAGTCAGGAGGCGGAAAACTAGCTCCTTCTGTTTTGCAGAGCCACTTAGCAGAAGGGAGCAACACTGGCTCCTCCGTCCCAAAGCTCATAGGATCATGTCCCACCGTAACAGTGAGTCTGGGCGGGGTAGAATTGCAATGTCTGCTCGACACGGGCTCGATGGTAACTACAATTACCGAAAGCTTTTTTAGTCAACACTTTAGGGAAAAGTTGGCCTCCTGTCGCTGGCTTGAACTACGAGCCGCCAATGGGATTGACATACCTTGTGCAGGCTATTTTGAAGCAGACGTTAATGTGCTGGGTAAAGTTGTAACTGGCCGCGGCATCTTGGTGGTGAAAGATCCCCCTAGTAATTTACCCCGACCCAAGGTCCCAGGGATATTGGGCATGAACGTGATCCAAGAGTGTTTTAAAGAGCTTTTTAATCAGCATGGGCCTTCACTTTTTGAACTTCCCTTGCTTTCAGACGTTCCCTCACCATGGTTAAATGCATTTCAACACTGTCAGAGGGCGCAGGTAGAAGTCACCCCCCCAAAGGCAGGCATGGTGAGGATACGTGGGCGGAGACCAGTATGTATTCCTCCAGGCACAGTAAAAATGGTGCCAACCACATGTCCCCAAGGCAGGTTTGGCCCCGGTGAGTCAGGCCTTTTTGAGCCTTTTACAAGTATGTGCTCTCTCCCAGCAGGTGTAGTCATATCCACTGCTATGGTGACTGTGCATAGGGGAACCGCATACATCCCAGTGTTAAATGTGAGCACCACAGAGGCTATACTTCACGCCCGTACTGCGATAGGCATGTTGTGTCCAGCTGATATAGTGAGTCTACCGGAGGGAGTTACTGAGGTAGCGGGGTCCCCTGGTGAGAGAGCGAGGGCGACAGTTTTCTCCCAGGTCAGTTCAGAGCCAACTCGGCAGACTGACCCGGTGGAGGCCCTGGATCTATCCAACCTGTCCCATGAAGAACAGGCTAAGGTCAAAAGTTTACTAGGGAATTACAGGTCTGTTTTTGCCCGAGATGAGAGTGACTTAGGCTGCACTAAGCTCATTAGTCACGAGATCCCCTTAACTGACGACACTCCCGTAAGGCAGAAGTTTAGGAGAATACCCCCCTCTGAGTACGAAGCAGTCAAGGCTCACATAAGACAGCTACTTGATGGTCAGGTGATCCAGGAGAGTAGCAGCCCCTATGCGTCCCCTACAGTCATAGTCAAAAAGAAGGATGGATCCATAAGACTCTGTATTGACTATCGTCTATTAAACAGCAAGACGCGCAAGGATGCCTTCCCCTTACCCAGGATTGAAGAGTCCCTTGATGCACTCTGCGGAGCAAAATGGTTCTCGACAATAGACCTCGCCAGTGGCTATAACCAAGTCCCAATGGCTGAAAAGGACAAATATAAGACAGCTTTTTGCACCCCGTTTGGCCTATTTGAGTTTAACCGGATGCCATTCGGTTTATGCAATGCACCTAGCACTTTCCAGAGGCTAATGGAGCGAATGTTTGGCTCAGAGCACTGTCAATCACTACTACTGTACCTCGACGATGTGGTTATCTACTCCTCCTCCATAGATGACCACCTCCCTCGCCTCGAAGCTGTCCTGAGTTGACTCCAAAAAGAGGGTCTCAAGGTAAAGCTGTCGAAGTGCGAGTTCTTCAAGAGAGAAGTAAAATACCTTGGTCATGTGATTTCTGGAGAGGGAGTGTCCACAGACCCAGACAAGATAGCCGCTGTGGCTGGTTGGCCCAGGCCTAACACTGTCCGAGAACTGAGGTCTTTTCTGGGCTTCGCCAGCTATTACCGGCGCTTTGTCTGTGGATTCGCAAAGATGGCGGGCCCTCTCCATCGCCTGGTTGCAGAAGAGCAGAGAAGGGCCGGGCGACAAAAACACAAACCCCTGACCACTGATTGGACACGTGAGTGCGAGCAGAGCTTCAATGACCTCCGAGCAGCACTGGTGAGTGCCCCTGTGCTTACTTACGCAAATTTCTCTCTGCCCTTTATACTCGACATTGATGCCAGCTTTAGTGGCCTGGGAGCAGTTCTTTCACAAGAACAAGACGGAAAAGTGCGGCCAATAGCCTTCGCAAGTCGTGCCCTTAGCCCAAATGAAAGGAACATGTCAAATTATAGCTCAATGAAGCTGGAGTTCCTAGCGCTAAAGTGGGCACTGACAGAGAAATTCCGTGACTATTTGCTTGGCCAAAAATGCACTGTATGGACAGACAATAATCCATTGAGCCACTTGGAAACTGCAAAACTGGGGGCAACAGAACAGAGGTGGGCCGCTCAATTGTCATCTTTTGATTTTACCCTGCGTTACAGATCTGGTAGGGCTAACACCAATGCAGACGCCCTCTCCCGATGCCCCCCTTCAGAGAAACTGGAGCAGGTTCTACCTGGCACCACCCTCCCAAAATCGCTGCGGGCCCCCACACCACCTGGCGCGGCCCTACAGGTAACGCAAGCTGCCATCTCTGCCTTTCCCTCCCATTCAGCAACAGAGCTTGCGGCCCTCCAACAAGCCGACCCCGTAATTGGGACATTTCTGACCTTCTGGGGCAGCCGGAAGCGCCCCGACAGAAGACAGGGCTGGCCTCTCTCCCCAGGTGCTGGAGTTGTGTCGGCAGTGGGACCGGGTCGAGGAAAGGAATGGGGTGCTGTACCGTCGCACACAGCGGTCAGACGGGGGAGAGGACCGGTACCAGCTGCTGCTCCCGGCCTGCCTTCAACAGGACGTGCTTCAACAGTTGCACCATGGGCATGGCCATCAGGGTCTGGAGAGGACAACTGATCTGGTCCGGCAGCGATGTTATTGGCCCCTCATGCACCAGGACATAAAGGACTGGTGCCAGCAGTGTGAGCGCTGCACCCTAGCTAAAGCCTCACTACCCCAGACCAGAGTAGCGATGGGCCACCTGTTAGCATCAAGGCCAAATGAAGTGCTGCCATGGACTTTACCCTGCTTGAACCTTCACGAGATGGGAAGGAAAATGTTCTTATCATGACCGATGTGTTTTCTAAGTTCACGCAGGCTGTGGCGACACATGACCAATGGGCCTCAACAGTGGCAGACATCCTTGTACAGGAGTGGTTCTATAAGTTCGGGGTCCCAGCGCGGCTACATTCTGACCAAGACAGGAACTTCGAAAGCGCCCTAATCAGTCAACTCTGCAGCATGTATGGCACGCAAAAGACCAGGACGACGCCGTATCATCCGCAGGGAAACGGTCAGTGTGAACGTTTCAATAGAACCCTCCATGACCTTCTTAGAACGCTCCCAATAGAAAAGAAACAGAATTGGTCCAGATGCCTGCCGCAAGTAACCTTTGCCTATAATACCACGGTCCACCAATCCACCGGTGAGTGCCCGCATTTCTTGATGTTTGGACAAGAGCCCCACCTGCCAGTTGACTTCCTCCTTGGTCGGATCCCCGATTCTGCCAGTGGCAGAGTTGAGGACTGGGTCCAAGAGCACCAAAGGAGACTGAAAGTGGCTTTCGCTGGTGCCCAGCAGCGACTCAGAGCAGCGGCTGTCCGACGGAAAGCGCGCCATGACGTGGGTGTAAATGCCACTGATCTACGTGAAAAACAGTTTGTTTATGTCCAGGACCACAGAAGGAGAGGTCGCTCGAAGATACAGGACGTGTGGAGTCCAGAGATCCACGTTGTGGTGAAAGCCCCGAGTGTAGGTGGTCCGGTATACTCTGTTGCGCCTATCCATGATCCACAGAGGGTAAGGACTGTACACCGAAGCATGCTCAAGCCTGTGCCAGATAACCTCTGCCCTCAGGAACAGCCCAGTCCATTACCTGGGAACAGGATCGAGACCGAAGAAGAGGACGAGGAGCCATTTGTTTTTGTGGTCCGCGGACCTGTCCCAGGAGTAGCGGCTACAACCTCTCCACCACAGGCAGGTATAACCGCCCCTACAGTTAATGACTCTCCTCCCTCTGCTATGCACTCAGTGGCCCTCGCAGGCCAAGAGCCGGAGTCGGGAGGTCACAGAAGAACAACCCGGGTCACAGCTGGTCGACATCCAAATCCCCATCGTCTCCCTGCTACGTTGGGAGGGGCTGCTACCTCCCGGGTCGGGGGTGTGAGTGGTGCAGTTAGGGCATATTTTAGGCCATGGGATTAGGGGCATTGCCGGGTCGCCAATGACAAACTGGGGGCAGATTGTAGCGGACACTAGGGGTCGCCACCGCCACAGTGGTACTTGCCTGGCATCCGAGGGGGGGGGGGGGGGGGGGGGGCTGGCTGAGCATAAAAATGGCGACCACGTTATGCTCAGTCTTGGCTCCCTGCTCGCTGGTGTCAGGTAAGGGCTTAACTCTCCCCCACCCTTATTTTAACGTCTGGTTTCTAATGTAATTTAATAATTTGTCAGGGCTGGATTACCTGGTGGCAGATTTCCCCCAGTGTAAACAGCATTGAGGAGTAGCCTGCTACTGTTTTGTAGGGTTTTGGTTTTGCCTTTAGTTTACTGTTTTGTGTTTTTTTTTTAAATCCAGCACTGCACTTTTAAATTAAGGTTTTTAGGTTTTAATGCTGTAGACTCTGGAGCTTAGGTGTATAGTTTAGTTATATTTAGTTCTCCCGGGGCGCGCCTGAGGGGGACCTAGCCCAGTTTCTTTCAGTTATTTGCACTATTGGGTCTTCAGTTGTTTTGTTGTGAGTGAGGGTAGCACTTTCAGTTTTGTTACGGGTGGGGCTACTCCCCGCGCAGGTCGCCCTCGTTGGATTCATTTAGTTATTAGTTTATTTTAGTATATTGAATTTTTATGATGCCCAGGGGCTGCAGCTTTTAAACCTTTTGGTGGGCTTTTATATTTTGACTTCTGGACTTTTAAATAATTACATTGCAATGAATTAAAATCTTTTTTTAAAACTCTTAATTGCTCCAGCTTTTTAATAAAATTCTAATCACACATTTTAAGTCTTGTCTCTGTCGTTGTTTTTACATACTTACCTGTGTCCTTGGTTTTAGTTCCTGGTTTATTTACTGTTACTGTGAACTTTTAAAAAGGTACCTCAGGTGACGAGTGCTTAAAAAATATCCAACACAAGAAAATGGAATAGTGTTTAAAAGATTAAGGGCTTCAGCCAGGAGAATAATTAAGTCAGCTAAAAGAGAGAGCTGGAGGAAGTATTGTAGTACACTGGGAGTAGAGACCTCGCTGAAAGATATTTGGAGGGCTGTGAAACGTATGTCAGGAGTCAGTCGGAAAATGGACATTCCAGTTTTAGAAGACAAAGGGTTATCAGTATCAACAAATTTGGGAAAGGCCAGGGTGCTCCAAGATAAGTTCAGAGCCTTTCATAGTGGTGAAAATTTTCAATTAGAGGATAGGAGGAAGAGAGATGTCACTTTGGATGTAAACAGGCATAAGCTCGAAGTTAGTGATGACAACTCTGATGTGTGTAATGTGTACTTCTCCTTGGAGGAGCTGGAAAGCGCTATTGGTAAAGGGAAAAGGTCTGCTCCTGGGAAAGATGGGATTAGTTATGAGTTACTTAAAAGACTGAGTGAGAATGTGTTATATGAATTGTTGGCTCTTATTAATAATGTTTGGGAGCAGGGGAAGCTTCCGTCAGCGTGGAAGCAGGCAGTAGTCGCGCCTATTCTTAAACCTGGAAAGAATGCGTCTGAGGCAGGCTCGTATCGGCCAATTGCTCTAACCTCTGTTTTGTGTAAGGTTATGGAGAGAATGGTTACTAACAGGCTTGTCTATAGACTCGAAAGGGAGGGCAAACTATCACCTGTGCAAAGTGGGTTTCGAAAAGGTCGGGGTACTATGGATTCTGTCCTCAGCCTGGATTGTGACATAAGGAAGGCTTTGGTCAATAAGCAAAGTTTGGTGGCTGTCTTCATAGACATTGAAAAAGCCTATGATATGTTATGGCGGGATGGCCTGGGGATTAAGCTCTATGACAGTGGTATTCATGGACGTATGCTCAACTGGATTCAAGACTTCCTTTGCAACAGAGTGATCCAAGTCAGGGTGGGAAAGGACCTTTCAGAGGGAACAGAGATTGATAATGGTGCACCACAAGGAAGTGTGATCAGTTCAATTTTATTCAATGTCATGGTCAATGATATTTTTAACTCCCTAGGTCCTTCATTTGGCACATCTCTCTTTGCGGAGGATGGAGCTATTTGGAAAAGAGGAAGAAACGTAGACAATGTGGTAGGGCAGATGCAGGCAGCTGTTAATAAAGTGGTGCAATGGGGGCAGGACTGGGGGTTTAGAATTTCTGTTGAGAGAAGTAAATGTGTGATTTTTGGAGATAAAAAGGTTGGCAGTCAGGAGCTGAGGATGTATGGGCAGCAAATTGAAAGGGTGAGGGACATTAACTTTCTTGGAGTAATCCTTGATGAAAAGTGCCTGTGGAAAAAGCATATTGAAAATGTTATAGTTAAATGTGAAAAGGTGATAAATGTGATGAGGGCTCTGTCGGGAAGTTGTTGGGGGGCTCTGAGAGAAACCCAAATGCAGTTTTATCGGGCAATGGTAAGGTCAAGATTAGATTATGGGTGTTCAGCATACGGTAGCGCAGCAATGTCTCATTTAAACAGACTGGATGTTGTTCAGGCTAAAGCACTGAGGGTTTGCTGCGGAGCCTGCAGGTCCTTTCCAATTCCTGCACTACTGGTAGAGGTAGGGGAATCACCTTTAAGCATTAGACGAGACAAGCTAGCTATGCAGTACCTGGTTAAAGAGCGTGTATTGGGGACTTCCCAGCGAAACGGTTGCTAGATCCATCATGGGAGTTGGGAGCAAGAAGGAACCATGAACCCTTTGTGATTACTGTATGTAAAGAAATGGAGAAGTTGAGCTTTAGAGAGGTGGGGGTTGCCCCTCAGCTGATATGGCCAGCCATTCCTCCTTGGACTTTACCATCCCCTGACATTGACATGTCAGTGTTAGAAGGTAAAAGGGGAAATAATGACCCTGAATATTTTAACCTTGTAGAACAGGCGTTGGGAGGGAGATGGGAAGGCCATTTACAGATCTATACAGACGGCTCAAAGGAAAAGGAGTCTGGAAGGACGGGGTGTGCCTTTTTTGTGCCTCAGTTAGAGGTTACTTTCAGTATGAGATGTCTGTGCACACTGCAGAAATCACAGCAATAACATGTGCCCTTCAGTGGGCAAAGGCATCTAAACAAGACCAAATTGTTGTATGTTCTGACTCAGCTGCGGTGTTAAACTCAATAGGTTTTGACAAAGGCAATGCCAGGCCAGATTTAGTGACTGAGGTACTAACTGAAATATCTGAGATTGAGCAATCTAAGGGTCGGTGGGGTTTCTTTGGGAGCCGGCTCATGTTGGTATCTGGGGCAATGAAGTGGCAGATATGGCGGCAAAACATGAGTGAGTGGAAAACTAAGATAAAAATGCATGTTACAGCTGCTTGGCAAGCAATGTGGGATGGAGACAGCAGGGGGCGTCATTTATACTCTATTCATTCCTCTCTCAAATGTAAACCAGTAATAATTGTTACGGATAGGAGGTCTGAGGTCATCCTTACTAGACTGAGACTTGGGCATTGTGGGCTAGCGTGGGACAGATACAGTACCTTGCGAAAGTATTCGCCCCCCTTGAACCTTTCAACATTTCGCCACATTTCAGGCTTCAAACGTAAAGATATAAAAAATATTTTTTTGTCATGAATCAACAACATGATTGATGACTTGCAGCTGTAATTGCAGCAAAAGGTGGCGCTACAAAGTATTAGCGCAAGGGGGCCGAATAATATTGCACGCCCCACTTTTCAGTTTTTTATTTGTTAAAAAAGTTTAAATTATCCAATAAATTTTGTTCCACTTCACGATTGTGTCCCACTTGTTGTTGATTCATGACAAAAAATTACAATTTTATATCTTTATGTTTGAAGCCTGAAATGTGGCGAAATGTTGAAAGGTTCAAGGGGGCCGAATACTTTCGCAAGGCACTGTATATAGAGGGTAAACATCAAAGTGGGTTATGTGCACACTGTAACGAAAATCAAACTGTCGTTGTCATGCATTGTCCAGTATATTTTGGTCAGCGAGCCGTTCTGAAGGAGTTGGTGTCTAAGTTAGCAATGGACTGGAATCTGAAGTCACTCCTGAGCCCAGCTAGAGAACAGAACCATGTTGTGAGAGCGGTTTTGAACTTTGTGCGAGCAGCTGAGCTGAATATCTGGGTATAGGCAATAGGCTTGAAGTCTATAACCTTCAGAAATGAATGCAGTGCACAATATGACCGGGAAAGGCAGCATTGTGCGAAGAGGCGCCAAGTCTGCCGGAAACTAAAAGAAGAAGAAGACCCGGAAGTAAGAACAAGAGCGTTGTTTTTGTTGTTTCCCACGGCCGCATTTTCCTTCAGTCCCTCCTTGGATCTACAACAGACTCCCACAGAGACAGATGTAAGTACAAGACTTTAAACTAGTGATGGCAATATGAAGCCCCATGAAGCCTTGAGGGATCGCAGCCTATTACTCGGCCCATGAGTCGAAGGCTCGAGGTGAATCATGCTCCACTACGCCCATCATGTGGACAAAAAAATACATAACACTCTTAAGTGCAGCTGCTGTTTGTAGCAGTTAGCATTCAATCTATGGTCTAACGTGTTGTGTTTGAAATGAGCTCATGAACTATGAAACTATTTTGAGAGCTAACAGAAGCTAAAGTCAAGAGTCCCGAAGATTCAAGGAAAAAAAGAGGAAAATGGTGAGAAAACATGGACCAGAACCAGACCAGACCCGGACCTGACTACACCAGGACTAAAGCAGGACTAAAGCAGGTCTAAAGCAGGACTAAAGCAGGACTAAAGCAGGTCTGAAGCAGGACTAAAGCAGGTCTGAAGCAGGACTAAAGCAGGACTAAAGCAGGTCTGAAGCAGGACTAAAGCAGGACTAAAGCAGGACTAAAGCAGGACTAAAGCAGGACTAAAGAAGGTCTAAAGCAGGACTAAAGCAGGACTAAAGCAGGACTAAAGCAGGACTTAAGCAGGACTAAAGCAGGACTAAAGCAGGACTAAAGCAGGACTAAAGCAGGACTAAAGCAGGACTAAAGCAGGACTTAAGCAGGTCTAAAGCAGGTCTAAAGCAGGTCTAAAGCAGGACTAAAGCAGGTCTAAAGCAGGACTAAAGCAGGTCTAAAGCAGGTCTAAAGCAGGTCTAAAGCAGGACTAAAGCAGGTCTAAAGCAGGTCTAAAGCAGGACTAAAGCAGGTCTAAAGCAGGACTAAAGCAGGACTAAAGCAGGACTAAAGCAGGTCTAAAGCAGGACTAAAGCAGGACTAAAGCAGGTCTGAAGCAGGTCTAAAGCAGGACTAAAGCAGGACTAAAGCAGGTCTGAAGCAGGACTAAAGCAGGACTAAAGCAGGACTAAAGCAGGTCTAAAGCAGGACTAAAGCAGGTCTAAAGCAGGACTAAAGCAGGTCTAAAGCAGGACTAAAGCAGGACTTAAGCAGGACTAAAGCAGGACTAAAGCAGGACTAAAGCAGGACTAAAGCAGGACTAAAGCAGGACTAAAGCAGGACTTAAGCAGGTCTAAAGCAGGTCTAAAGCAGGTCTAAAGCAGGTCTAAAGCAGGTCTAAAGCAGGACTAAAGCAGGACTAAAGCAGGTCTAAAGCAGGACTAAAGCAGGTCTAAAGCAGGACTAAAGCAGGTCTAAAGCAGGTCTAAAGCAGGACTAAAGCAGGTCTAAAGCAGGACTAAAGCAGGACTAAAGCAGGTCTAAAGCAGGTCTAAAGCAGGACTAAAGCAGGACTAAAGCAGGTCTAAAGCAGGTCTAAAGCAGGACTAAAGCAGGTCTAAAGCAGGACTAAAGCAGGACTAAAGCAGGACTAAAGCAGGACTAAAGCAGGTCTAAAGCAGGACTAAAGCAGGACTAAAGCAGGTCTAAAGCAGGACTAAAGCAGGTCTAAAGCAGGTCGAAAACAGGTCGAAAACAGGTCTAAAGCAGGGCGAAAGCAGGACTAAAGCAGGTCTAAAGCAGGGCGAAAGCAGGACTAAAGCAGGTCTGAAGCAGGTCTAAAGCAGGACTAAAGCAGGTCTAAAGCAGGTCTAAAGCAGGACTAAAGCAGGACTAAAGCAGGTCTAAAGCAGGTCTAAAGCAGGTCTAAAACAGGTCAAAAGCAGGACTAAAGCAGGTCTGAAGCAGGACTAAAGCAGGACTAAAGCAGGTCTAAAGCAGGACTAAAGCAGGTCTAAAGCAGGACTAAAGCAGGTCTGAAGCAGGACTAAAGCAGGACTAAAGCAGGACTAAAGCAGGACTAAAGCAGGTCTAAAGCAGGACTAAAGCAGGTCTGAAGCAGGACTAAAGCAGGACTAAAGCAGGTCTAAAGCAGGACTAAAGCAGGACTAAAGCAGGACTAAAGCAGGACTAAAGCAGGATAAAGCAGGTCTAAAGCAGGTCTAAAGCAGGACTAAAGCAGGTCTAAAGCAGGTCTAAAGCAGGACTAAAGCAGGTCTAAAGCAGGACTAAAGCAGGACTAAAGCAGGACTAAAGCAGGACTAAAGCAGGTCTAAAGCAGGACTAAAGCAGGACTAAAGCAGGTCTAAAGCAGGACTAAAACAGGTCGAAAACAGGTCGAAAACAGGTCTAAAGCAGGGCGAAAGCAGGACTAAAGCAGGTCTAAAGCAGGGCGAAAGCAGGACTAAAGCAGGTCTGAAGCAGGTCTAAAGCAGGACTAAAGCAGGTCTAAAGCAGGACTAAAGCAGGCTAAAGGTCTAAAGCAGGTCTAAAGCAGGACTAAAGCAGGTCTAAAACAGGTCAAAAGCAGGACTAAAGCAGGTCTGAAGCAGGACTAAAGCAGGACTAAAGCAGGTCTAAAGCAGGACTAAAGCAGGTCTAAAGCAGGACTAAAGCAGGTCTGAAGCAGGACTAAAGCAGGACTAAAGCAGGACTAAAGCAGGACTAAAGCAGGTCTAAAGCAGGACTAAAGCAGGTCTGAAGCAGGACTAAAGCAGGACTAAAGCAGGTCTAAAGCAGGTCTAAAGCAGGACTAAAGCAGGACTAAAGCAGGACTAAAGCAGGACTAAAGCAGGACTAAAGCAGGACTAAAGCAGGTCTAAAGCAGGTCTAAAGCAGGTCTAAAACAGGTCAAAAGCAGGACTAAAGCAGGTCTAAAGCAGGACTAAAGCAGGTCTGAAGCAGGACTAAAGCAGGTCTAAAGCAGGTCTAAAGCAGGTCGAAAGCAGGTCTAAAGCAGGACTAGAGAGCAGGTCTAGAGCAGGTCTATAGCAGGTCTATAGCAGGACAAAAGGGGGACAAAGGCGGGACAAAGGCGGGACAAAGGCGGGACTAAGGCAGGACTAAAGCAGGACTAGAGCAGGACTAGAGCAGGTCTAGAGCAGGTCTGAAGCAGGACTAAAGTAAGTAAGTAAGTAAGTAAGTAATCTTTATTTATATACCGCCTAAAGACCTAAAGCAGGACTAAAGCAGGTCTAAAGCAGGACTAAAGCAGGTCTAAAGCAGGACTAAAGCAGGTCTAAAGCAGGTCTAAAGCAGGTCTGAAGCAGGACTAAAGCAGGTCTGAAGCAGGACTAAAGCAGGTCTGAAGCAGGACTAAAGCAGGACTAAAGCAGGACTAAAGCAGGACTAAAGCAGGATTAAAGCCGGATTAAAGCAGGACTAAAGCAGGACTAAAGCAGGTCTAAAGCAGGTCTAAAGCAGGACAAAAGCGGGACAAAAGCGGGACAAAGGCGGGACTAAGGCGGGACTAAGGCAGGACTAGGGCAGGACTAGGGCAGGTCTAAAGCAGGACTAAGGCAGGACTAAAGCAGGACTAGAGCAGGACTAGAGCAGGTCTAGAGCAGGACTAGAGCAAGACTAGAGCAGGTCTATAGCAGGTCTAAAACAGGACTAAAGCGAGTCTCTTGTTACTAGGCGCCCAGGGGGAAGCGTGCAAAGACGAAGGCTCCGACGGTTGTTGATGCTCTGTCCACGGAGGAGATGAACAAAGACCAGGTGAGACACATTCACACACAGACACCTGGTCCAGACTCGGTGCAGACCAGGTCCAGACCCGGCCCAGACCTGGTTCTGTGGTCCACAGTTGGAGGAGCACATCGTCCCCCTCAGGGAGGAGTTGGATCGTGAGCGGGAGGAGAAAAGTTTCTTCCAGTTGGAGCGAGACCGGATCCAGAGTCTGTGGGAGACCAGCCTCCGAGACCTAGACCAGGTCGAGACCGAGCTGAACCAGTCCAGGAGAGAGAGGGAGGAGGCAGAGGAGCGCCACCGCATGGAGCTCAATGTAACTGCAACACACACAGAGGCAGAGAGAGACAGAGAGACAGAGACACAGAGACACAGAGACAGAGAGACAGAGACACAGAGACACAGAGACAGAGGCACAGACAGAGACACAGAGACAGACACAGAGACACAGAGACAGAGGCACAGACAGAGACACAGAGACAGACACAGAGACACAGAGACAGAGGCACAGACAGAGACACAGAGACAGAGAGACAGAGGCACAGAGACAGAGGCACAGACAGAGACACAGAGACAGAGAGACAGAGGCACAGAGACAGAGGCACAGACAGAGACACAGAGACAGACAGAGAGACAGAGGCACAGACAGAGAGACACAGAGACAGAGGCACAGACAGAGACACAGAGACAGACAGAGAGACACAGAGACAGAGAGACAGAAGCACAGAGAGACAGAGACACAGAGACAGACAGAGAGACAGACAGAGAGACACAGAGACAGAGAGAGAGAGACACAGAAACACAGAGAGACACAGACACACAGAGAGACAGACACAGAGAGACACAGAGACAGCGAGACAGAGACACAGAAACACAGAGAGACACAGACACACAGAGAGACAGACACAGAGAGACACAGAGACACAGAGAGACACAGACACACAGAGAGAAAGACACAGAGAGACACAGAGAGACAGACACAGAGACACACAGAGACACAGAGAGACACAGACACACAGAGAGAAAGACACAGAGACACACAGAGACACAGAGAGAGACAGACACACAGAGAGAAAGACACAGAGAGACACAGAGAGACAGACACAGAGACACACAGAGACACAGAGAGAGACAGACAGAGAGACACAGAGACACAGGCACAGGCACAGAGAGACACACACAGACACAGAGAGACACACACAGACACAGAGAGACACACACAGACACGCACTCCTCTCTCTCTCTCACTTCTCTCTCTCCTCTCCCTCCCCCCTATCTCGCTCTGATTTCTTTCCCTCCCTCCCACCCTCACTCTCTCTCTCTCTCCCTCTCTCCCTCTCTGTCTCCTCACTTGTCTCCTCCTCCTATCTCCTCCTGGGTCCTCCTCACTTGTCCTCCTCTTGTGTCCTCCTCACTTGTCTCCTCCTCCTGTCTCCTCCTCAGACATGGAGAAGATGTTTCGGAGCCTCTCCCTGTCCCTCACTCAGCAGCAGGAGAAGAGGATTCAGCAGGAGGTGCAGCAGGTACAGGAGGAGGCCAGCAGGAGGAGCAGTGAGCTGAAGCAGGAGCAGCAGCGCCTCCTGATGGTCACGGAGCAGCACTACAGTAGCCTGAGGAGGAGACTGGAGCAGGAGCAGAAGGAGCTCACGGTGAGGAGGTCCCCCCCAGTCCTTCTGTTCCAACACTCTCCTTTTAAACACCTCCACTTTAGGACCAGCAGCAGGAGCTCAGGGAGGAGCTCTCCAGAGTCCACAAGAAGCTAACCACCTCCCAGAAGGAGAACCTCCGTCTGAAAGAGAAGCTCGAGGAGGCCCAGATGGAGGTCCCAGAGCTGAGGAGGAGATTGGAGCTCAAAGAGGAGGACAAGAGGAAAGAGAAGGTGAGGGGAGGAGCCTGTTGCATTGGGGGTGGAGTGGGAGGAGCCTGTTGCATTAGGGTGGAGTGGGAGGAGCCTGTTGCATTAGGGTGGAGTGGGAGGAGCCTGTTGCATTGGGGGTGGAGTGGGAGGAGCCTGTTGCATTAGGGTGGAGTGGAAGGAGCCTGTTGCATTGGGGTGTAGTGGGAGGAGCCTGTTGCATTAGGGTGGAGTGGGAGGAGCCTGACTCTGCTCTCTTGCATTGGGGGTGGAGTGGGAGGAGTCTGTTGCATTAGGGTGGAGTGGGAGGAGCCTGACTCTGGTCTCTTCCATTGGGGGTGGAGTGGGAGGAGCCTGACTCTGGTCTCTTCCATTGGGGGTGGAGTGGGAGGAGCCTGACTCTGGTCTGTTGCATTGGGGGTGGAGTGGGAGGAGTCTGTTGCATTAGGGTGGAGTGGGAGGAGCCTGACTCTGGTCTCTTGCAGGTGATTGGTCAGAAGCAGAAGGTTGTGGAGCAGCAGCTCAGAGCTTTGAAGACGGAGAAGACTCTGCTGCAGCAGGCGTTTAGACAGGTGACCTCTGATCTCTGGGGCAGCTCTCTCATTGGCTGACAGGTGTGCTGCTCTCTAATTGGCTGACATGTGTTCTGGTCTGATTGGCTGACGGGTGTGCTGTTCTCTGATTGGCTGACGTGGTTGTGCTGCTCTCTGATTGACTGACGTGTGTGTGCTGCTCTCTGATTGACTGACGTGTGTGTGCTGCTCTCTGATTGGCTGACGTGTGTGTGCTGCTCTCTGATTGGCTGACGTGTGTGTGCTGCTCTCTGATTGACTGACGTGTGTGTGCTGCTCTCTGATTGGCTGACGTGTGTGTGCTGCTCTCTGATTGGCTGACGTATGTGTGCTGCTCTCTGATTGGCTGCAGGTGCAGAGGGAGAGGGACCAGCTGAAGGACTCTCACCTGGAGCTGGAGCTGCAGCTGCAGAGGAGGAACGGCCTGAAGGAGGCGCTACTGACACACAAACTGAGAGAGCTACAGACCAGTCTGAACCGGGTCTGAACCGGGTCTGAACCGGGTCTGAACCGGGTCTGAACCAGGGAGAGAGCCCATGTTAATATTTGACAGTGCAGATCTGATTCTTCTGATGTCTGGAGGTTTTTCCGGTTTTTTCTTTTGTGACGTTGAATCAAGTTTAATGAAAATAAATTATGTGTAAAGTTTATTAAACTGTTGTTTTCATCATTTGAGGCTGAGTCGCTGTCTCCAAGAACCAAGTTCTCAAGGTCCTCTGGGTCCTCAGGGTCCTCAGGGCCTGGTTAGCAGAGTTAGCTTAGCTCAGGAAAACCTCGTTAGAGTGAGCTCGGGTTAATCTCATGTGGCTAACCTCATTAGCTCAGATTAGCCACAGTAAACTCAGGTTAGCCACATTAGCACAATTAGCTCGGATTAGCCACATTAGCTGTCAGGATATTAGGCACACACAATGCTTACAGTAACACAAGTTTGATTCTCTATTTTGATACATTTAGACATATTCTGTGAACAATATTCCCTTTATGGGAAGTTAACAGCTGAGCAGAAATAAAACATCTCCCAAGGACATGGTGTTGCTACTTTGTAGAACAGGGACAATAGATGGTTCTTCGATGACGTCACGCACTACCCACAATTCCGCATTGCGCCATCTTGATAGGCAAGCCCTGCTAGTTGTAGCATACAGTCCATGGTTGTAGCTACAGTAAATGCAGCTGCTCTTTGATAGTCTCAGGGTTCTGTTTAAAGCGCAGAGAGAACCATGAAGACAAAGGAACACACCAGGCAGGTCCGAGATACGGTTGTGGAGAAGTTTAAAGCCGGATTTGGATACAAAAAGATTTCCCAAGCTTTAAACATCTCAAGGAGCACTGTGCAAGCAATTATATTTAAATGGAAGGAGTATCAGACCACTGCAAATCTACCAAGACCCGGCTGTCCCTCCAAACTTTCATCTCAAACAAGGAGAAGACTGATCAGAGATGCAGCCAAGAGGCCCATGATCACTCTGGATGAACTGCAGATAACTACAGCTGAGGTGGGAGAGTCTGTCCATAGGACAACAATCAGTCGTGCACTGCACAAATCTGGCCTTTATGGAAGAGTGGCAAGAAGAAAGCCATTTCTCAAAGATATCCATAAAAAGTCTTGTTTAAAGTTTGCCACAAGCCACCTGGGAGACACACCAAACATGTGGAAGAAGGTGCTCTGGTCAGATGAAACCAAAATCAAACTTTTTGGCCACAATGCAAAACGATATGTTTGGCGTAAAAGCAACACAGCTCATCACCCTGAACACACATCCCCACTGTCAAACATGGTGGTGGCAGCATCATGCTTTGGGCCTGCTTTTCTTCAGCAGGGACAGGGAAGATGGCTAAAATTGATGGGAAGATGGATGGAGCCAAATACAGGACCATTCTGGAAGAAAACCTGTTGGAGTCTGCAAAAGACCTGAGACTGGGACGGAGATTTATCTTCCAACAGGACAATGATCCAAAACATAAAGCCAAATCTACAATGGAATGGTTCACAAATAGACGTATCCAGGTGTTAGAAAGGCCAAGTCAAAGTCCAGACCTGAATCCAATCGAGAATCTGTGGAAAGAGCTGAAGACTGCTGTTCACAAACGCTCTCCATCCAACCTCACTGAGCTCGAGCTGTTTTGCAAGGAAGAATGGGCAAGAATTCCAGTCTCTATGTGCAAAACTGATACATACCCCAAGCGACTTGCAGCTGTAATTGCAGCAAAAGGTGGCGCTACAAAGTATTAGCGCAAAGGGGCTGAATAATATTGCACGCCCCACTTTTCAGTTTATTTGTTAAAAAAAGTTTAAATTATCCAATAAATTTCGTTCCACTTCACGATTGTGTCCCACTTGTTGATTCTTGACAAAAAATGTAATGTTTATATCTTTACGATTGAAGCCTGAAATGTGGCAAAATGTTGAAAGGTTCAAGGGGGCCGAATACTTTTGCAAGGCACTGTACATGTAAAAAGTTCATAAATATTAGGGACTGATGGTGTAGCACAAAACACATAAAACTGTTTGAATAACTCAGCTTTTTGATTAGCCAAAACATTTGTCAAACAATACACATAAAGGCAAAATCAAATAAGCAACTGAACATGATGAAGACTAAATTAACACAAAACAAGAGGAACATTTCAGCTGGTGATCAAAGGAGGTAAACAAGACTACACAAAACAAACACATTTACTTAGACTAGCTTAATAAAGGTAAATGACTGTAGCAATGATTAAGGTCAATAATGAGAACATTGGAAACTTATTTACTCATCTATGCTTATAATTTTATTATAAATGGTGTTATTCAATCTGGAGAGACCAGGATTTATTGTTGGCCGCATTGACCCCGGCAGGGACACTAGCAGAGGGGAGATCACTGTTGCTTAGAACGATCTCAGATCCCCCAGGGTCAAGCACTGGTGGTGGCTATAGCACGGTGTGAACGGGGCACGGGCAGAAGTGCTGGGGAAGCGGTGGGTTGCAAGAGCTTCAAAGCGCTGGTTTGTAGGAAGCGGCTGATTTTAAGCTGCCCGCTTTGCCGTCAGTGGTTGGCAGGGGGGGCTGTCAGAGCTGTGTGATTGGCTGAGGCTCGAGGCTGGCCCTGGATGTGCGGCGTGATGTCTTCTCAGTCTGAATATGTTAAAATAATAAAATATGAAAATATACAATAATGAAGGGAAAGTGTAAAACTGGGAGAGCACCTGGACCAGGATGACAGTAACTGGACATAGATATTCTAAAGTGGCAACACTTGAGGACGTATTGATGGCGTAAACTTAAAGTGCCCTGTGGAGATTAAAAATGGTTGTAACAGGCTCTTTGTGCTAATTCTGCTCTGATTGTATGAGACAGACAGATATTCATGAAACTATAAAAACAAAGTCTGTTTTAATCAAAAATACTACATTTTCATGTAATTTTTGCTCTGTTTGAGTCCGTGTGAACCAGAAAACGATTAATTGATTACTAAAATAGTTGTCGACTATTTCAATAATCGATTAGTCGTCGATTAATCGATTAGTTGTTTCAGCCCTATCATAGTCACAACAAGCAGACATCATAGTCACAACAAGCAGACATCATAGAGTCACAACAAGCAGACATCATAGAGTCACAACAAGCAGACATCATAGAGTCTCAACAAGCAGACAGCATAGAGTCTCAACAAGCAGACATCACAGACTCACAACAAGCAGACAGCATAGAGTCACAACAAGCAGACATCATAGAGTCTCAACAAGCAGACATCACAGACTCACAACAAGCAGACAGCATAGAGTCACAACTAGGGATGTAAATCGGTGACCGTTTAACTGGTGGTTGACCGTCACAGCATTAACCGGTCAAAGCTGTCGGTTAAAAAAATAAAAGGGGGAGACGGAAGGTCTCTTAAAGCTGCACTAACTGACTTTATTTTTGTATTCATTACGAAAATTCTATCCATGTCCATGTAGTGCATTGGAATATATGTCCTTTTGAAGAAAAAGTAGCACAGGTTTGTGCTGGCGTGAAATTATATTTTAGAGTTTTGATGAAACAAGGAAGAGATGTGTTTCGGGTCGCAGATTGTGACCAATCACAGCGGACCACTAGCCCCCACTTTCTTGAGAAATCTACAGGTCTCTTGCGCACACACAGCTGAGTTTAGCACAACAAGCAGCGGAGCTAACCTGAAGCTTCGTGTGTCTTCGACCACCGGTTACTGCTTACACAGCGAGACAGCCATCCAAAAGAAAGTCTCCTTCCTCCGCGCTTCCCGGTTCTATTGTTCTATGGTCACGCCATCCACGTGAAAATCAATGTCCATGGATTTATCCATATTGGGAGATGTTAACTCTGAACAAAATCCCAAAGTCAGTTAGTGCAGCTTTAGAAACATTACTTTTTAGCCCTGTTTGCACGGTGTGAAGGAGCGGGTCTGTCTCTAGCTGTGTGCATCAATGTAGTAGTAAACTCTGGGGCAACTTTCATACCGCAAGCGTAGGTGGGCGATATTGACAAAAATAAATATCTCTTTTTTTCCCTACTCCCGATAACGATATTGTCACAATATCTTTAAAATCAATCTTTTTTACACAGAATGATCTGTAATGTTTTGCTGCTAGGGCATCTATAGATAGAGACAGTGTAGATCAAAATAGAAGCTTTTTATTTTCTAAAGTGCTTCACACATTTTTGCAAAACAAGCGCTAACATACAGTGGGGCAAAAAAGTATTTAGTCAGCCACCGATTGTGCAAGTTCTCCCACTTAAAATAATGACAGAGGTCCGTAATTTTTATCATAGGTTTACTTCAACTGTGAGAGACAGAATGTGAAAAAAAATCCAGGAATTCACATTGTAGGATTTTAAAAGATTTTATTTGTAAATGATGGTGGAAAATAAGTATTTGGTCAATAACAAAAATTCAACTCAATACTTTGTTATTGCCAACAAAGGTTATATTACAGAGGTCAAACGATTACTATAGGTCTTTACCAAGTTTGCACACACAGTAGCTGGTATTTTGGCCCATTCCTCCATGCAGATCTTCTCGAGAGCAGTGAACACGGACTTTCAACTCCCTCCACAGATTTTCAATGGGGTTGAGGTCTGGAGGCCGGCTAGGTCACTCCAGGACTTTCAAATGCTTTTTACAGAGCCACTCCTTCGTTGCCCGGGCGGTGTGTTTGGGATCATTGTCATGCTGGAAGACCCAGCCACGTTTCATCTTCAAAGCTCTCACTGATGGAAGGAGGTTTTGGCTCAAAATCTCACGATACATGGCCCCATTCATTCTTTCCTCAACACGGATCAGTCGTCCTGTCCCCTTAGCAGAAAAACAGCCCCAAAGCATGACGTTTCCACCCCCGTCCTTCACAGTAGGTATGGTGTTCTTGGGATGCAACTCTGTATTCTTCTTTCTCCAAACACGACGAGTTGAGTTTATACCAAACAGTTCTACTTTGGTTTCATCTGACCACATGACATTCTCCCAATCCTCTGCTGTATCAT